CGAATAATTTGTTGTTGTTGTTGTTGTTGTTGTTGTTGAGGATTTAAACAAATTTGTATAGATTAAACTATTTAGATTAATAGTTTAGTGGAAATGAGACATGGAATATTGCTGTTATTTTGTATCGTCGACTACCACCTAAACATTGATTACTGATTGAATTTACGATCAGATGCTTTCTGTTATCCAATGACTCTCCATCGAAATTCCATTTAGAACTTAACAGTTAGTTTATGTATAGTCAGTCAAACAGAGTTTAACAAAGTCATCAGTAAGATAATTACTTACCAGTAAATATGGAATGCTAATCAAGTTAAATGGTGAACTAGTTGAAGTTGAATACCAGCTCGATAGTCTTGAGATTAAGTGTTCCCCTTCGAGATTTGAGCGATTTTTGAACTTGATCCTCGATAAGATCATGGATTCTAAGTACTTAGGAGTCACGTACTAGGCTGAAACAGAAGCTCAGTACTTCCTGGGTATTGACAATGATCTGGGCAGCATCATCGACAATCAAGGTGGATCCGATGCAGATGTGAGGTCGCGGATTGGCAAAGCAAGGGCTGCATTTCTACAGTTGAAAAATATCTGCAACTCCAAACAACCAACCAACCAAAACCAAAAACACGATTTTCAATACAAATGTCAAGACAGTTCTATTGGATGGAGCGGAAACCTGCAGAACTACGAAAGCCATCATACACAAGATACGAGTGTTTATTAACAGTTGTCTACGCAAAATACTGAGGATTCGTTGGCCAGACACCATCAGCAACAACGAACTGTGGGAGAGAACAAACCAGATTCCAGTGGATGAGGAAATCAGGAAGAAGCGGTGGAAGTGGATAGGACACACACTACGAAAAGCACCTAACTGCGTCACGAGACAAGCCCTCACATGGAACCCTGAAGGCAAAAGGAAAAGAGGAAGGCCAAGGAACACACTACACCGAGAAATAGAGAAAGATATGAGAGGAATGAACAAACATTGGACAGAAGTGGAGAGGGAAGCCCATGACAGAGTTGGTTGGAGAAAACTGGTGTGCGGCCTATGCTCCATTGGGGGTAACAGGCGTAAGTAAGTAAGTAACTAAGTGATCTCAATAACCAGTAACAATTTCCGCAATTTCCTTTACTGAGTAACATTATGAATATTATCATATACTTTGGTAATAGATTTAACAAGCTATAAAGTCCACCAAATCGTAGTACTGCCATTTTTGAATAAACTTCAAACTATTTGCGTCAATAAATCACATTTCTTTTGAAACAAACAAAAAAAGACGCTCATCAACTTTATTACAGATGTACAGGCATTTTAAATAGAATTCAGCATCAAAGTGATTGGAGTAAGGTATGTTGGGTTATTTACAATGTTTTTGATATTCACCAAGTGAGTTTCCTTGCATCACTTTGTAGATACATTGAACCTGCGACAATTTGAGCTTACTTTGGACAAGTGAACTGAGTTTAGTTGGTAGGTGCAGGCTACCTGGTTGGCGTCCGCGAGACGAACGTAAGCGATGATTAGCGACATTAAATGACATGGCTCAAAATCGTTAGCAATGGTGCAGGTTCATCCATTCTTTATGTTCTCTCAAATTCTAGCCTTCAGAATTCCTCATCATCTCAGTCTTTCAATTTCTAAAGTTATTTCATTAAATAATACCTCTTGAATAATATATTCGATCCCTAATTTTCTCCATTACTGCTAATTCTTCTACTATCTCTACCACTATTGGATTTGAGCTGACAAATGCGTCTCTGTGCTAATTTGGTATGGCAACTTAAACTGACGTACGTCTCTACGAAGTTATACGTTGTAATTGACTGACTGACTGACTGACTGACTGGAGGTTATTTTGGCAAGCTACATTCAGATCTTTGGTGAAAAACTACAGTCTCAATATACAAGACTAATTTATTTATTAAAAAGAAAAGTGACCCACCAGTTGTTGAACAATCGAAACATTTCACAAGAACATTCATTCAATATGGATCTTGTACACACAAATAATTGCTGTTTTTATACTTCAAAAAACGTTTCTCTATCAGAGTATCAATAAATAACATTTATCTCATTTTCGCAACACTTTAAACACACTTAAATTCTGCGTATTAGGATTTCTATTTTATCTAATCAGATTTGTTTTACATATTTACTCCTTATACATGCGAATACATAGTGACTGAAAAAGTTCAGTGATCTACGTATGGTGGAGTTTCGTTCTCTCTGAATATCATCATCAACACAAACTTCACATAGAAGTGAAGTATTTGAATTTCTCCACGTATAACTCGTAGCTTATCCTGTTGACCTCGAGATAATGACAGGTAAAAGGTCCATAACAACCAATCAAGATGGAGGCCAATAGGACAAACTACTAGTCATACGTGGAGAAATTCAAATACTTCACTTCTGCTATCTCACGTTTGCACTACTGATGATGTTGTTGATCAGAAGAAGAAAAATGAAAGCTTTACAATCAAAAATATCCAGCTACATATTTTCTCCACTATCTAAACTAGTTATATCTTAGTGGAGATAGTTGGTCATGGGGTTATGTTTTGATTTTTTACATCCTACTAAAATTATCATACCCTTTTGGTGGTTGCTAAACCGGTAAATAAAGTCTAAAATTAACGCCGTTTAATGCGGGCTCAGTGGTCTAGCGGTTATGTGTTCGCAGACCGACAATTCTGGGGTTCGATTATCGCCGATAGGGTCATGGGTACACACTACTGATAAGTCAAAACAACCGTCCAGTGCTCCTCAGGATTCTAATAATGATCAAAGATTGTTCGAATCATTCTGTCAATCAGTCAGTCAGTTAGTCAGTTACAACGCAGAACTTCGTACGTCTATGTACATCAGTTCATGTTGCCATACCACACATTAGCACAGGGACACAATTGTCAATTCAAATTACCATAATGGTAGAGATAGTAGAAGAATTACCGGTAATGGAGAAAATTAGGATTTAAAGATAATATTCAATAAGTTGAATTCAGTGAGATAAGTTTAGAAAGACAAAGGTAGAGGTGTCAATGATCAACACTTGTTCATAGTCTAGCCTAAAATTACTGATGATATTGACAACCTTTAATAAATATGGTTACTTTATTTAAAATGTGAGTTTCCAGTCCAACATAACATCCATTCAACTTAAAGTTGACGTTTCTTTACTATGAAGAAGATATTTAATTAGTCAATCAGCTACAACGTCGGACTTCGTACTTACGTACGTACGTACGTATGTACATCAGTTCAAATTGTCATATCATATTGAGACACAGAGATCGAATTGTCAGTTCAAATCCCATAATGGTAGAGGCAGAAGGATTATCGACAATAATCAAAGAGATTAGAGTTTGAAAATGTGACTTGCCAAAATAACCTACAGTCAGTCAGTCAATTACAACATAGAACTGTGGTGCGAGCTACTTATAAGTAGGAATATGACGCGAGTGAAAACTTAATGTCTGGCAGCAGAAGATGAGGGAAGATCAAGAAAGGAAGATTGGGAACACAATGGAATTTGTATGAAACGCATGAATAAGTGAAATGTCAGACAATGGATTGATGATGGATTGAAGATTTGCAAGTTAACCGTTTACGATATGGTTTTCCTATTTTACCGAGTAACTCTATAATTTTCGTTAAATACAATTCGGTTGCCCTCACCTGTGTTCTCCTTCACTACAGAACTTTATAGGTACGTCAGCTCAAGTTGCCATACCAAATTAGCACAGAGACGCCACTGTCAGTTCAAATCGCATAGGGTAGTAGAGGTAGTAGAAGAATGAAGAAGAATAGGGATCGAAAATATTATTCAAAAAGTATTATTCAGTGAAATAACAGTCAGTCAGTCAGTCAGTCAGATGCAACGTAGAACTTCGTACGTATGTACATCAGTTCATGTTGCCATACCACATCAGCACAGAGACGCAAATGTCAAATCAAATCCCATAGTGATAAAGATAGTAGAGGTATTGGGAGTAATCGGAGGGGTCAGGTTTAGAAGATATTATTCAAGAAGTATGATTCAGTGAGAAAAGTTTAGAAAGTCAAAACTAGAGGTGTTGAAGAATCCAGAAGATTAGAATTTGAGAGAACACAAAGAATAAATGCACCTCCGCCATTGCGAACGATTTTGAGCCATGTCATTCAAGGTCTCTAACCATCGATTATTATCATCTCGCGGACTCTAACTAGGTAGTCGACAATTACCGACATGACTCAGTCCACTTGTTAATGACTTCATGGATTTCTGCCATGTTTTGGTTTGGCCGCCCCTAACTTTCTTCCAACCTATTCCTACACTACAAAACAAAGCTCTTCGAGGCAGTCGGTGGTTAGCCATACGCAACACATGTGCCAACCACCTCAACTGATGAAGTTTCATTACTTCATCTATTGATCTTCCATTCTTACCTAGTACCCGTTTCCTAATAACAGCATTGCTCACTCGGGTGTCCCAGGATATACGCGCAATGCTTTGAAGCCACCTATGATCGAAAACCAGTAACCTACCAAAGTGAAAGTGAAAGACAGAAATGTTGAGGAGTTCTGATGATTAAAAACTTGGGAGAACAAAAAGAGTGGATACACCTGCACCATTGCAAACGATTTAAAGCCATGTCATTGAATGTCACTACTAACCATCGGTTACTATCGTCTCTTAAAGACACCAACCAGGTTGTCTCTACATCTGCCAACATGATTCATTCCACTAGTCGGTGTCTTCATGGATTTGTGCCATGTTTCGACTTTGCTAGTCCCTACACCAACAAGCCTCATCATTCGCCGATGTAGTCCCGTGATTGGGCCACACACATGTCCCAACCACCTGAGCTGACGAAGTTTCACCACTTCATCTATTGATCTGTCGTCATCCAATAATCTAAGCGATTACTACCGACATGTGGGGCATTAACCATCTAACACTATGCACACACACATACATACATACATACATACATACAAAATGCACACTTACATTAATTCTGACGTCATCGTCATCATCATCACCATCGTCATCAACATCATCATTATGTCTATCATGCCAACTTTCACAATGAATTGTATTCATCTGACTCAATGTATCTCCTCTATTATTATTATTATTATGATTATTATTATTCCCACGTATTGATAATCGATCCTGTGCATAGTTTCCATTCGTATAAGAGAATCTCTTATTAGCATGATTATTATTGTATAAATGTTTCCTTATTCGTATTGTTTGTACTGAATGTTTATGGTTGATGAGTTCAACCAGTGAATTATTATTATTATTATTATTATTACTATTACTGTTATTGTGATGAGTATTAAATCTATCCAATTTATACTTAGATCGTAACGACTTTTGTCCAGCGGTTATCCATGAAGAACTGCTAGCTGAATAATGCGATGTAGATGGTTTGTTTCTGTTGAAATCATCTGTTTGATGAGGATGAGAATGATAATTACGATTATTCTCATGATGATGATGATGCACTACTGTTGGTTGATAACTTTTCAACGGTTTACTCACATCTGGAAACCATAGAAACGAGTGTGGAACTAGTGGGATGTAATGTTTTTCGGTGAATTCTTGACGTGAATTCATGATCACACTTGACTTTAGTTTCGTTAGTGTTGTGGTGTGTATGTTATATTCTGTTATCACTCTGAAATAACCACTATGATGATGATTATTATTATTACTACTACTACTATAATTAGTATCATTGTGAATAACAAATCAACAATGACCTAGAATGTATTGGATAAGACGTTTACCCTAGCAACCAATATTAAAAAAGGTTAACCAAAAAATAAAAAAAAACGAAACACAAATTATCAAATGGAAACTAGTCATTGAGAAAAAATAGTTTGTTCGTATCGATCCGAAGTTTACGATGTCACGTTACTATGTTTTTTAAAAAAAGGAACAAATCTAGTTAGTTAGTTAGTTAGTTAGCTAGTTAGTTAGTGCGTTGCTTGGTTATACGAAGGGGGGGGGGCGGGTAGAAGTACCTGGGGGAACAGAAATCATATCCTAATAAGTGATTATGAATAGAGAAATTATTTGCGATATGGTGGTTTATGGCTACGCCTGTCGACCAGTTTTCGCCACTCTACTCTGTGAGGGCACCGCGGATCGGCAAAGCAAGGGATGCATTTCTACGGTTGAAAAATATCTGCAACTCCTAACCCAAAATCAGGATTTTCAATACAAATGTCAAGACAGTTCTACTGTATGGAGCGGAAACTTCGAGAACTATCAAAGCCATCATCCAGAAGATACAAGTGTTTATTAACAGTTGTCTACGCAAAATACTTCGGATTCGTTGGCCAGACATGATCAGCAACAACTTACTGTGGGAGAGAACAAACCAGATTCCAGTGGAGGAGGAAATCAGGATGAAGCGGTGGAGTTGGTGGATAGGACACACACTGTGTAAAGCACCTAACTGCGTCACGAGACAAGCCCTCATATGGAACCATAACGGTCAAAAGAAAAGAGGAAGGCCAAGGAACACATTACGCCGAGAAATAGAGAAAGATATGAGAGGAATGAACAAACATTGGACAGAACTGGAGAGGGAATCCCAGGACAGAGTTGGTTGGAGAAAACTGGTGGGCGGGCTCTGCTCCATCGGGGGTAACAGGTGTAAGTAAGTAAGTACTCTGTTCTAGGCCTCCCTTTCCAGTTTTGTCCAATTTATGTTCATTCGTTCCATGTCTGTTGCCATTGCCCGGCGTAATGTGTTCCTTGGTCTCCCACTTTTTCCCTTCCAAGTGAGGGCTTGTCTTGTAACGCAGTGAAATGTTTTCCTCAATGCGTGTCCTGTCCAGTTTCATCGTTTCTTGCTGATTTACTCGTCCATTGGAATCTGGTTTTTTCTGTCCTACAGTAGGTTGTGACAAAAAATTAGAGGATTATACACATTTAACTTCCCTTGGAACCCCTCTGGGGCTAGTGCAGGTCCCAAGCACGGATAAACGAGGAGAGTTGGGTATGAAGCTAACAACCTCATCTCGTCGAAAACTAACTCTCTGAAAAAAAAGCTAACCAGCGACTCATACTCCATTGGGGATAACAGGCGTAAGTAAGAAATATATTTACCCTTTTCATGACTCCTTAATGGCGAATAGATCTTAGCTAAATCATCACCGAAAAATTGAAAGCAATAGGCAGGTGTTTCAATGAGAAGTAAATTACCATCAGTGGCTAGGTGTTAGTTAATGTATGACACTTTAAAACCCTAAGTTTACTTTCTAAGTGGCAGGTCGTAGTGTGGTGCGCTCTGCTTATAACTACTATATGATGTGAGTGTCAACGTAATGTCTGGAAGCAGAAGATGGGGGAAGATCAAGAAAGGAAGAGTGGGAACACAATGGAATTTGTGTATGAAACTCATGAATAGTAGTGACAATGGACTGATGTTTTGCAACAGGAACAACAGTCCAGTTCGATATGATGATGAACTGATATTTTGCAAATGAACGATTTACGATATGGTTGTCCTATTTTACTGAGTAACTCTGTAATTTTCGTTAAATACAATTCGGTTGCCCTCACCTGTGTTCTCCTTCACTACAATAGTTGTTCACTGTTGGATGGATATACTTGGAAAAAAATTTTGAAAATTTCGATTTCAGTGTTGACTGAAAGACAGTTGTTTTCAGTTCCGGATGTTCTTCAGCTGTAAAAATGCTGCCCTAGCTTTCTTAATCTCTGTCTTTATATCGGCTTCAATGATAGTGACCAAATATGTAGAAGTTTCCATATTGCCCAAAGTTTCTTTGTCAAGTGTGATATATTGGTATACATTATACTTAATGAGATTTTGACTTGAAAGATCTCTGAGAGATCAACTCCTTAACATATCTTCTAGCTTAGAACTTTCATCTCTTGAAGTTAGGCTATTGTTACTAAACTACTGAATTAGTCTTATTCAGTACATTGAGTCGACTTCAATTATTTCCAAATCGAACTTAAAAACTGTTACCCAACATCATCAGTGATGACTTACTAACTTACTTACTTACGCCTGTTACCTCCAATGGAGCATAGGCCGATCACCAGTTTTCTCCAACCAACTCTGTCCTGGGCTTCGCTTTCCAGTTCTGTCCAATGTTTGTTCATTCCTCTCATATCTTTCTCTATTTTTCGGTGTAGTGTGTTCGTTGGCCTTGAGGGTTCCATGTGAGGGCTTGTCTCGTGACACAGTTAGGTGCTTTCCGCAATGTGTGTCCTATCCACCAACTCCACCGCTTCATCCTGATTTCCTCCTCCACTGGAATCTGGTTTGTTCCCTCCCACAGTTCGTTGTTGCTGATGGTGTGTCTGGCCAACGAATACGAAGTATTTTGCGCAGACAACTGTTCATAAATACTTGTATCTTGTGGATGATGGCTTTGGTAGTTCTCCATGTTTCCACTCCATACAGTAGAACTGTCTTGACATTTGTATTGAAAATTCTGAGTTTGGTTTTGGTTGAAAGTTGTTTGGAGTTGCAGATATTTTTCAACTGTAGAAATGAAGCCCTCGCTTTGCCAATCCGTGCCCTCACATCTGCATCGGATCCACCTTGGTTGTCGATGATGCTGCCAAGATATGTTAAGGTGTTAACGTCCTCCAAGGCATCTCCATCAAGCGTGATTTGGTTGGTGCATGTTGTGTTGCATCGGAGAATTTCGCTTTTTCCTTTATGTATGTTGAGACCTACTGCTGCAGAGTCTGCTGCTACACTGGTCGTCTTCTCTTGTCTTGTCGTTGAGTGTGCGATAGAAGAGCCAGTTCATCTGCGAAGTCCAGATCGTCCAGCTGCATCCTAACTGTCCAGTTGATACTGTGCTTCCCTCCAGACGTCGACGTCTTCATAATCCAGTCTATTGATGACCAGGAGAAAGAGAAAGGGTGAGAGTAAGCAACCTTGCTTGACATCGGTCTTCACCTCGAACGAGTCTGTCAGCTGACCTCCGTGCACGATTTTGCAGTTGAATCCATCATAAGAATTCCGTATGATGTTAACTATTTTTCTCAGTC